TTTCAGAAAAATACAAACTAATTCAAAGAAATGCTTTTATTTTGAAAGGGGTAAATGAAAAGCAAGTTAGATCGACCTAAATCTGGTTTGGATTGGCCAATTTGTCACAAATGATTCCACTTTCAAATTAAACAATAGAACAGGTTTGTGTCAGTCTCATGAGTCTTCAACTATGAGATGAAAGCGTGTGCAGTCTTAGCGGTTAGCGTTAGCWTTTATTTGTTTTTTCATCTGTTTTGTGATTTAGTGTTAGCAGAGCTAAAATTATTGTTTAGCAGATTAGTGGCTAGTGAAGKTAACTTTTTGGATAACTGTGCCAATCATTGTAAACATGATTTTATGTTTCTTTTTCTTTCTTGCAGAGGTTTCCATGAATCTTTGGATGTGACACCCATTGAGTTTCAGCGCCTGAAGAGTCTAAACCCTCCCAGAGCACCATGACTGTCAGCCCGTGTCTTTTCATTTCTCTTCTGCTGCTCCTCCACCCGGGAGTCTCTCATTTATCGGATGGCAGTTTTGATCATGAAGACATCAGCGGTAGCGTCCCAGGGAACTGCTCCAGCGAGGACAACTGCTCAGAGGGCGTGGTTCTGCCCATGTGGAACCCCCAGAACCCTGCCGTTGGCGACAAGGTTGCTCGTGCCATTGTATATTTCGCAGCGCTCGTGTACATGTTCCTGGGCATGTCCATCATTGCCGATCGTTTCATGTCTTCGATCGAGGTCATCACCTCTCAGGAAAAGGAGATCAGCATCAAGAAGCCAAACGGCGAAATCACGACAACCACCGTTCGCATCTGGAACGAGACCGTCTCCAATCTGACGCTAATGGCTCTGGGCTCATCAGCACCAGAGATCCTGCTGTCCGTCATCGAAGTGGTCGGCCATAACTTTGAAGCCGGAGCTCTGGGGCCCAGCACCATCGTGGGCAGTGCTGCGTTTAACATGTTCATRATCATTGCCATCTGCGTCTACGTGGTGCCAGAGAACGAGACACGCAAGATCAAACACCTAAGGGTGTTCTTCGTCACTGCAGCCTGGAGCATCTTCGCCTACATCTGGCTGTACCTCATCCTGTCCGTGTTCTCCCCCGGAGAGGTGGAGGTTTGGGAGGCGGTCCTGACGTTCCTGTTCTTCCCCCTCTGRGTGCTACAAGCCTGGATCGCAGACCGCCGCCTGCTRTTCTACAAGTACGTTCGCAGGCGCTACCGTGCCGACAAAACCCGTGGCATCATCATCGAGTCCGAGGGAGATGCCATGTTCACAAAAATGGACTTAGAGATGGACGGGCAGGGCTCAAACTCTCACGGCCATAACAAGGAGGCTCTGGACGGGATGCTGGAGGGGGTGGAGGAAGGTGGAGGGACGAGCGCTGAGCAAGATCAGGAAGAGGAGGCCCGTCGAGAGATGGCACGCACGTTGAAGGAGCTAAAGCAGAGGCATCCAGAGAAAGARATGGAGCAGCTGATTGAGATGGCCAACTACCAAGTGCTGGTCCAACAACAGAAGAGCCGGGCCTTCTATCGGATCCAGGCCACMCGCATGATGATCGGAGCCGGGAACATTCTGAAGAAGCATGCTGCCGACCAAGCCAGGAAGGTGGTCAGCTGCCARGAGGCCAGTGGACAGGAAGAAGACCCCCACACCATCTACCTGCAGTTTGAGTCCTCTCACTATCAGTGCTTTGAAAACTGCGGTTCCTTAAAGCTCTCTGTMAGCCGGCATGGAGGCGAGGCTGGCTGCACTGTGAAGGTGAAATGAGTCATCACAGTGCTATAAGCTGTTTCTAACTGGTTAATGTATAAAATATCYACCAAGTTTGTTTTTCTTTGCCATYCAGGTGGACTACCGGACAGAGGACGGGACTGCCACCGCGGGCTCCGACTATGAGTTCGCTGAGGGCACTTTGGTCTTCAAYCCCGGCGAGACGACGAAAGAGTTCACCGTGGGCGTCATCGACGACGACATCTTCGAAGAGGARGAGCACTTCTACGTACGCCTCAGCAACCCACGTATTGTCCACCGGGCCGAGGTCTCTGTCCTGGAYCCCAACTCCATCACCTCCAGCCACAGCACGGTGGGCCTCTCCTCCCACGTCCCACCGAAGGCCGCGCTGGGCAACGCCCCCGTTGCCACCGTCACCATCTACGACGACGACCARGCCGGCATCTTCACMTTCGAGAGCAAGTCCACGCGGGTCAGCGAGAGCGTCGGGAACATGCAGGTGAAGGTGCACCGGACGTCCGGGGCGAGGGGGAAGGTGGCGGTGCCGTACCACTCCGTCGAGGGCACCGCCAAAGCCGGYGAGGACTACGAAGAAGTTTCTGGGAAGCTGGAGTTCCAGAATGACGAGACCATGTGAGAACCACTTCCTCTTTTTTTGGTTTTAAACGCTGTCTTGTTGTTGCTCATCTTAGCTTGATCAAATATCACAACCCACACATCGGTTATGCTAAACAGTGCAGCTAGATTACTGTACYTTATCTATTCTAGTAATGGATGAAAGGTCTATTTTTATGAGTCACGGATACGTTCGCTAGGAGAAGTTTGGATCTTTCGGGTGGGGGATGAGGTGGGAGGATAAGAGGATGTAATTGTGCAGCAGATAATGACACATTGTGGCTGATGTAGAAGAAGAAGCAGAGGAACCTATCTATGAATAAAGAGTTAAAACCTTGGTATTTTAAACTTAATTGTGATGCTGCAGGATGGATGTTTCTGCAGGAATCAAAAGGAAGTGCAATTTGAGCAACAAAGAGTGTATGTGGTGGTGGTGGGGTGATCAGACGGTGGGGTGATCAGACGGGCGACTTTGCGCCGCAACGAGGAAGGGATGAGGGCTGAGKGGCTCCTGAGAACAGGTGTGTGAGATGAAGCCTGTGTGATTATTTCAACAAAACGATATGTGGATGCTGCAGCAGAGAGGCAGATGAAAAAAGATCAACGGAGGAAGAGCGCTCAACAAGAGTGAGCGAAAGCTAAAAATGGGATGTGTTCCAGCTTTTCTCTCGTTCCCAGCGTGGCAGGCAGGGTTGGCTGAATGATGTCTACATGAGCCGTGTTTGCTTTATGACAATACGAGTTGTTTTTCTCTCTCTCTCTCTCTTTCTTTCTCACTTAAAAGAACAAACAGAATGACCTCAAATATGTCAGGTTCATCGCAGAATGATTTGCAGCTCCACAAAAGGACAGAAGAATACCGAGTAAAATGTGCGAGCCGAGTCTCTGAGTGAGCGAGGAGAATTTCATGTGTAGGTGTGCTGAGTGGGCCGGCTGAGTGGGAGTGAAAGCAGGTGAATACATGGTGTCAAAGAGAAAACAGAACTCCCTGCTTCTCTGTTCTGCCTCACAGTGGAGGAGAGATTTGAAGAGATACAGCTGTGTGTTTAGCAGTTTGCTTGTTCACATGCATCTTTGATGATGTTTTCACCTCTGTCTATATGAGTGAGAGAGAGAGAGAGAGAGATGGTAGCTCAGTGGTCAGTGTAATCTTGAGGCTGCCGGTTTGAGCCCAGGTTGTGTCAGACAGTGTTGAGTTAGTGGCYAGAGGGAAGGAACTGAAAGACCAACTGTGTGCTAGGTCAGTCTGTTAGCAAAATATCTCTTTACCACAACATGAGTTTTATTGAAACCAGACTTTTAGCTAGGMTTTTGGAAGAGGGCCGCTAAACCCTAAGCCAGTGGACAAATGCAAGAGATCWGTGATTTCAGTGAGATTAGCCTGGTTAAATAAATGTAACTAAATAAAACMAATCAAAGTTTTAAAATTGCTACTCACCTCCGATATCCACGCCTGGCACAGTTTTTACTTTATGTCGAGTCAAACTCAAGGCACTTAAGCCTAGACTTTGTACAAGTGTCTTAAAGTAAGTGAATTCTGCTTTAAAGCCAGCATTGACCGTAAACTACATCTCCCATWATGCATGTCGATTATGTWTGGGAGTTTCCTATCAGAAAATGTGAGGGTTTACAATCCAAGACGTTCRACAACTCAATATAGTATTTCATTAGGTGGAGGTGCACAGCCAGTAAAACCTGCTGTGCTGCATTMTCARTGGTTACWTTTGCTGCGGCCCAGTTGTACTAGGAAGTGTAAATTTCCCATTTACAAGTCATAACTTTAAACTGGAATGCCCCAATTCAGAATTCAAGATGGCATCTGCTCATTACGACTCYGCAATGAMTGAAACTCTTACTTTTAACAGTYTTTCTGTATTATTTAWATCACATTTAGTCYGTCATAYACGTGGTACTTTTCAGTGTTTATAAAAYGACATCATGTTYAAACGCTGTTTCTATGCAGGAAARACCACATAGAGCTCAGTTATTGATTATTAGTCATGCTCGGCCGTATGAGAAATGTGTCGTTTCGTGTTTTGTTGAAGTTAAACACAAAGCATTGAGYTTAATTACAACTGATCCTTTGAGGGAACCATAATGTGGCCCTTGGTCAGAATGAGTTTGCCACCCCTGCTTTATGTCAAGCGGATTCAATATGGCCGCCCAGCTTATTATCATAGTCAAACACATAAATGATTATAACTCTGGCAAATTTTAGAGATCTTAGGCTAAAATATGGTAGGTTTGTAGCTAAGGGTATATCTCTTTACATCATTTTAGTACTAAAGTTTGCTTAACATTTTTTTTGTAAGGAGTCAGCCTCGTCTGTCTGCTACCAAAATATCTCATGAACCACTGGATGGATTTAAATAAAGTTATCAATAATTCATGATGGCTACCACAACTTACTGACATAAAAAACACACAAATTGCTAAAACTCAATTAATTTTACAGTTATCGAGCTAAAATTTGACACGAATAAAGCCATCTCCAACACCTCCTGCAACAGCAACACATTTTGACAAACTGTTCAAATCTGTCTTTTAGCAAAAATATCCCATTAATCACTGGAATAAATTTAACTTATCATAACAACTGATTACTTTTGGTTAACTCAAAACAAGATGGCTGCCACCGCACCACACCTATTTAACATTAGCAAACACAAAAATGACTGTACAAATAATTTTAAATTGTGACGAGGTAGTAGCTTGAAAATTAGACGATTCCGGAACTTTGTTTTATTTGAAAGATTTGCTCAAAATGGCTAAAAGTTTCTCTTTTCTCAATATAAAATAATTTTAGTTTCATACACCAGATGAAGGGTGGCAGATGATGCAAACTGCGAGGCCTGTAATGATATTTGCCTTGTTATTATTTACACACCAGACTGTGTGTTTATGATTAAGGGCAAACTGGTGCTGAATCCACTTTAAAACAACATCAAGCAGAATGTCACTCCAAAGGAGAATTAAAAAAGAGCTTCTTTAGCATCTGGAGCAATTAAAGGGAGTGAAAAGGGGTTAAAGAAGTCCCCAAAGTTCTGAGCACACTGCAGACAGCTACGAGGCTGCAGATAATGAGTCCGGGATGTGTAACAATGTGAGATGAGAGGCAGACAGCTTGTATCAGCATTCAGAAGGAGCTAAAACCCTGAACTGCAGATCTCAGATCCTGCTCCCAGATTGTAGCGAACTCAGAGCGACATGAACTTTCCATCAGAGTCATCATGCAGCAAAACGAGCGAGGACCAGAAAGAGCAGGATCCACCAGAGATGCACAACCAGAAACTGATGAAAGGACGCAATATGCAGATGTAAGGGAAAACACCAACACTGTGCTCAGCTTCTCCTGCGCCCCTTAGATTAAAAGGCYAGTCAAGGACTTAAAGGGGGAGTGCAGCGGCGCTTTGATCATCAGTGGAAATGTTTGACTCAGATCTTGAATCCCCAGTGGGCTAGTCTAGTGTAGTCACAGCAGTGCTCTTATCTTTAGACTTCAGTTTTTTTAGGGTAAATAATTTTGAAATTCCATCTGAATGAAACTGCGTACTCTCTCCATGAGACACCTGAGGCTGTTTAATAAGGGTGCTTCYATGCTGAAGCACCCTTATTATGATCCGTCCATTATTCTTCTATTGTTGACACAAATGTTGATTTGATATTCTTCTTGCAGTTTTGAAAGAAACTCATAAAGATGCAGCTTGATTGTGAATTGCACGTTATGGCTTATAGTAGCAGTACGATGTCAGAAAATGTCAAAGCTTTCCACAGAAGCAATGGGGTTTTGATAAAATAAAAAAAACAAGTTCTGCTTGGAGCTCTGGAGCTCAAACATACAGAACAAATATCATTCAGAATTTAAACAGGTCACCGAAAGTTTGACTTTCATAAAATATAAATTATATTTTGAGTTCTCTAATGCTTTTTACACAACCATAGTCCCACAATCTTTACTCTTCTTCTACAGCTAATAGTAATGTTGGCATTTTAGTCTTTCACCCAGACATCTCACTGGTTCTGCACTGTGTTTGACCTCAAACCCCCTGAAATTGCAAAGTGCTTGATTTCAGAGTCTCGTTGGTTTCCATTGTATCTGAGCTTACAGTTTATTTTTCAGAATTGAAAGGACCTTCCTAACATGCATTATACCCTACAGTAAAAAAAGAAACACATAAATGTCCACAGACACTTCTGCCTTTCCTACTTTTTGTGCTAAATTTACACAGTAATACCTGCATATCGGCTWTAAACTACTGCTGCACATGTGTCAAACTCTAGGCCCACAGGCCAAATCTGGCCCTCTTTAGCAATTCATCTGGCCCCAAAGAAGATGCACCCAGTTTCAATGAAGTTGGGACGTTGTGTAAAATATAAATAGAAACAAAACATGATGATTTACAAATCCTTTTTAACCTTTATTCAATTGAAAACACTATAGTTCAAACAGATAAACTTTATTGTTTTTTGCAAATTCATCTTATTTTGAATTTGATGCCTGCAACACATTTTAAAAAGTTGGGGCAGGGGCATGTTTACATCTGTGTTACATCACCTTTCTTTTTAACAACTAGGAAGTGTTTGGGTGGAATTATTTCCCATTCTTGCTTGATGAACCACTTCAGATCTTATTCAATGGGAGACAGGTTTAGTCTGCAGACAGTCCAGTCTAGTACCTGCACTCTTTTACTATGAAGCCACACAGTAGGAACACGTGCAGAATGTGGCTTGGCATTGTCTTGCTGAATTAAGCAGGACGACCCTGAAAAAGTTGTGGCTTTGATTACAGCATATGTTGCTCCAAAACCTGGATGTAGCTTTCAACATTAATAATGTCTTCACTGATGTGCAAGTTACACATGCCGTGGACACTAATGCACCACCATACCATCAGAGAGGCTGCTGTTCACACTTTATGCTGATAATCTGGACAGTCCTTTTACTCTCTGTCCTGGAGAAAACAACGTCCATGATTTCCAAAAACAATTACCGGTAGAAATGTGGACTCGTCGGACCAC